ACACACACACACACACACACACACACACACAAAAGAAAACAAAAAAGTACTGTAGGGCTCTATTTGTTGGGACCTGATCTCTTCGAGTGAATTCTCATCTCGCGCACCGACAAGAGGATCTTCCATAGAATTGATAATCTCTTCAAACATACCTCTTTATCGTCGAGTCACTTGAAATTCAAACTACACTGATGATTTAGCTGTGAAGCCAATTAATAGTTCAAGCTTTATTAACGTGAAATACGTCGTACATAAATATAATAAATAGTGCAACTTCGAGTTGAAATATATAGCTAACGTTTACAAAAGTGATCTATTCGTGATTTTTTTCGAGTGTAGAATAGCATACTCTTGTTGAACAGAAATGCTATCATATTGAACGAGTATCATGTGGAATAGGGTCGATTAATATAGTATAACTTGTGTACGATGAAATTCGATTAATCTGTTGACTGTGTAATTAAAATTGAGAGGTGAGTATACCTGTCAAATATAGAGTATTATAATTGAATTAAATCACAATGATAATTGGTTTTTCCAAAAATGAAGTACATGGGAAAGAGTTGAATCTGTTTCTGGTTTTGTAAAAAAAATACTATCGAATCGTAATTATTGTGTAATTAAATAAATATTCCGCACTTTCTGTTGCGAGATAAGACTCGAAAGATTACAATTACGTTCTAAAACTGTCCGGAGGATTTACTTCGAAATTTTAATTTACACAGCGGGAGATAATATTTCTTCGCGAGTGTTATATTTTGTTAAGCACAGTTAACTCGACAGTACCATAATTTTTCAAAGTAATCGCCAGAAATATGCTCTTCAGACAATTTCCACAATTTTCATTGAGAATCTAACAGCGAGAATCCTCGAGAGACCTGTACAGTGCGAACAGGTAACATTGACGTTTGAAGAGGTTGAACAATTTAGCTATCACAAATGTAGAAATTCGTGAATATGTCAATATCGATATGTTACTCGAGGTTTCTTACGAATGGACAGGCGGTTCCGAGATCCTGGAGCTATTTAGAGGAACAGCGGTGCCACGGTTCGGATACATCGAGTTCTACTGTACGCGTTTGATGAAAGTATTATCCATGAAAGTTCGAACGGTCAGTTCGTGAAATTAGGCATACGTCGAGTTATTATACATTTTTTCCTAGGTGTTTGTACATCGTATTATCATACATGCATACGTACTATCCACACGTGGGCATTTACACGAACACACATGGGCATTTAGCTGAAAACACACATATGCACGTGCAAAAAAGGTATATATATATATATATATATATATTTCATTACTATATTCGAATGTTGACGGTGATCTTTTTCCCATCGTCGATTTCAGAAAACAGAATTATTATACGCGTTGAGAGGACGAGACGATATCCGATTTATCGCGTTATTTCGTGGCCGAATTGTACATAACATTCGTACGTCGAGATGATTACGTGATTACGAACATCGATCGGTCGTTTGCAACGTTCAAGTTAAATGATTTTCGGGAAAATTAAGGGAAAGAAACGATCGTTGCCACATTAAAATTAGAAAAATTAAAAAAGAAATTATTCGCACGAAGGGTATACTTCACTAATTTCGATGAGCCTCAAACTATAATGTTTCTTACAATCAAGCGGATAAAGTATATTTTATTCTATATTATCACTAAACCGTGGATATTTATACAAATTTATATTTTTATGACTATAGCTGAAGGGACAGAATTTAAAGTTGGAGATTCTAACTGTCTAAAAATGATAACAAATATACTTTTCGTTCGAATTATTTTTATACATCTTCGCATATTCTAACACGTTTGAATTTTATTTCAAAATTTCGCGAGTTAATTCTAACTCAAATTCGACTTAAAGCAGGCTAAGCCTTAAAATAAATCGAAATCTAGACTTACAAAAAAATAGTGTTTGAAATTATAGTGTATTGAAAGTATTTTTTAAAAGTGAAAATTAATTTTTATAATATATTTTAAAACCATTGAAATCGATGAGGCGTATTTTTTTTTCTAAATAATTACTAAAAAACCTATATTCTATGATATTAAAATTTTCTAAATGCAAACATAAATAAACATTAAAGTTTATTCGTTCTTGGAACAGTTTGTACATTGTATCATAATTCAATTAGTAAATTCTAACGAATATTATAACGATCGATCGAAGGTTTGTTATGCACGTCGAACGTCAAATCATAAAATCAATACATGAAAGTACTGCTATAATGCCTATATATTATTCGAACAGCCCTTCTTTTCGTTGCCCGAGGATCCACGAGATTATAGTCAATTTGCGCGATATCTTTCTAAAACAAAAAAAAAAAAAAAAAAAAAAACGTTATAGATACATACAATATAAAATATATACATAAATTTACGAGTATATGTGGCCGATATATATATATATATATAAAATTCAACGCGCTAAACAAATAAGATTAGATATTATTATAATACATTCTTCTCGGTCGTGTCGTGGTGTAATTAATAATATACATACATATATGCATATATACATAATGTATCAAGCCCATGTTACAGTACACGATAACTAACAAACAGTAAGCTAATCATTATTGATCTTTTCGTATAAAAAATTTTGTTTGATATTTGTTTGATAATACCAGTTTTTTCCCCTCATCGGTTCAACAGGAATTAAATTACAAAAATGGGATAATAATTGAACAATAATTTTTGCTACGAGCTCTGGATGAATCAAGTTAACCCATTTAATTAATTCATTGTTGCACAATAATTGGTACCTGGGTATTTCTTTAAAAGAATTTCTTGATCTCTTATCTTAACAAAAGTTTTAAATATTAAAGCTTCGAGATTCTTATTGATTTCTGGAATAATGAATGCAGGACTTTGGTTGTCTGATTTAAATTGCACGATCATTGCAGCTTACGCGACTGATTATATTTTATATTAAATCTTCAATTTATCATAGTCTGCCTTAATTGAAATAGTTATTATTAACTGATTATAATGAAGCGAAGTTGAAGTGATTAAATTCCATTTCTGCAAAGTGAATTTCTCCATTTCTTTATTGATAAGCTGATATTCACACGCTACAATCAATACATATTATAATTATT